CTGTAGATACTGCCTTCAAAACAAAATAAGACGTTGCCGGTGGTGGCTTCGAAACAGAAGTCAGCATCGTACCGTAGACAGTAAAAAATAAGGGTACCGCGTATGGGGCAATTACGAAAGAAAAGTGTCAGGAAGACAGACACCACAAATGTGGCAAACTCCTTTTCTTTCTCTTATTAATAATCAGTGCTAACCAGAGCATCGTTCTTTCAAGAAGCTTACGGCGCGCGGTGATCTCCATTTTGATGCTCTGTTCCAGAAATGTTATTTTTGAATGCAGTGACTACTATAGCTACGTGTCCACTACAGCTGTGTCTGTAACAACGTATAGTCTCCTGCCCATTGTCAGTGTGGTTAAATTCCTTCGTTTACATCACAGAAATATACAGTGAATAATTGAAGATCATTCGATCACGGTCCGACGTTTCACACCGACCACGCTGTCTCGATAAGGAAACGTAAAGCTGGGAACAAGTGCCATATTCCTACAACATGCGAATTACAAACTTGATGTTGGTCGCTACTGTCACTGCTGACGCGTTGAACCTGTCGTACGAAAAGAACAAAATACTAGTCACGAAATATTTCTGAACATCGATCGCACCGAAAATGGCTCATCGATTATGACTTGAATCTTCTGCAGTTACTTACGTTTGGTAATGTGGAATTCTAAGCGCTCAATTTAGACTGCTTCAACGCATGCGCGACATCATACTTTCAGTTTTAAAGCATTCACCATGATATTTCTTCAAAATTGTCTCACATACAAATGATGCTATCGTTGAGAGAAGTTTTTCTGACCCTACTCGAATGAGGAACAGCACCTCTAATAACAACCTTCATGTACCACATTAACAACCCACGACGTTTTGAACGGCTGCTATTTAAGAAGTTAAAATATACAGCGCCAAAGCTTTACGCAGAGCTGTCATCCCACGCATTACTGAACTTCCTCCCCGTTAAGTACAGCTGCAGCTGAAAGAACAGAAATACCACTACAAAATAAAGTGACTACCAAACTGCGTTGCTGAATAAAACACTGACAAAAAAACTAGTGACTCGAACATTCCCAACAAAAGCACTCTTTCCACAATATCTGCAATTCTGAAACAAAAATGTGCTTGCGGTAAAGTGGACTAAGAACAAGAAACTTGGCAGTCATTGGGATATCAGGTCTCCCTTGCCCATTCTTTAAGTAGCTTCGTTGGTGTTTCCTATTTTCACGGATCATACATTGTGACAATGATTTTCGTATAAACACATTCAGCGAGGCGTGGTTCATTTAATGACGAAGGCAGCACCTACTGTCCACAGGTTAGTCAAACAGAATCTGAAAGTCCTACTAGTTCAATCTGTCAACAATGTCAGTATCAGTAAGAACGGAGGAACAGAAATGAGCATTGCCCACACAACCTGAAAAGATATATAACCTAACAACTACGTAATCTATGAATGTTGCGAAACATCGTTTCTGTTTATTCCTAAAACAGCTAGTCAAAAAATCAGAGAAAAATCCTTATGGGAAGTCTGAAATGTATTACTGCCTGACGTGCCTACAACGTTTAAAATATTTTTTTAACTCGATGAATTTAATATTATTGTTATTTATGTTTTAACTAGCATGAGTAGATGATCCAGCTTCAAATGAAAATTAGCAGTAATGGAGCAGCTCACACATTCTTGGCGGAATCCAAAACGATTCAGCGTATCAAATCTACTACTTGATCGCTATAATCTAACCTCGGCGTCTCAGTTGCTAAAACCGAATAACAGGAAAAATAAGGATCGCATCGTGTGGCGGCCAAATGCAAAAAATCGCTGCAGAATACTACAAAGCCGCGCTACAACAGCAGTCAAAGCCTCTTTAACTCGCGAAAGATAGGTTAACGAGGCTACGGTAACGGAGTTGTCAGCGTTCACTATGCCTATAGGAAACATCTATCTGGCAGAAGAAACTTTCGACAAAAAATGCAGATGCAGATATTGGAAGCTAAGTCATATCAGTCGCTAGAGAAAGCATGGAAAAATCTTTCCCGTCTGCTACGTAACCTCATTCCAACTATGATGGGAATGTCTGATTTGTTCATAACATTCCGCTAATAAAAACGGATCCAAGGCTGACGCGTAGCTGCGGAATTACATAATTAAGCAGGCAATCTCTTATTCTGAAAAAAACTTCTTGCACTTATCACCTTAGAAGAAAGTTTTGCTAAGGCAGCCACAACCCTGACCTACATATCTGAACATGTGATTTGAGAAATCTTTCAAGGCAGTGTCAGTAACCTGGTCAGCAGATACATCTTCATCTTCTTCATCTTCATCTTCCATCGCCGCTTCTCCTTTCGGGTCGCGGAGGCAGACACGTCAGACAGAGTTTCCAACGTTTCCGATCCTGTGCCAAAGTCTCAGCTTCGACAAAAGACAAATGCAGTCTCGAACAGATTCCTTCCATGTGTTTGCACCAGGTTAATCTTGGCCGTCCCCAGGGCCTTTTGCCGATCGGATTTGCAAGGAAAACCTGGTTAGCAATTAGCAAAAAGGGATGTCAACTTACCGACCTACCAGTAACACGCGAGGATGGAGAATTCCAAACCCAATAGCGCACTTCAACAAGGTGCAGATGTGCACGTCGTCCGTTTGTTCGCATCTGCCACAGACATTACGTCCCGGTCAAGTATCCTCGTAGTCCAACTTATCTAGTCTCATGAGCTGATAGATTTATGGAATTAGACCGTGGGAAACCGAAATTACGATTGTTCTGGGATTCTTCTAGCAAAAGAAAACGGCACTCCCGGTACAACTGCTGAAATGGGCTTTCTTAGACGAGTCGCTGGCCTTACGCGTCTCGACATGGTCCGGAATAGTGACATTCGGAAGAGCCTTGGAATACATCCTCTGTTCTCCAGATTGAGAAGTCACAGCTGCGATGGCTTGGGCATGTGTTGCGAATGCCTCCAGAAAGGAAGGCAAAGCAACTGTTCCTTGCAAATCTGACCGGCAGAAGACCCAGGGGACGCCCAAAATTAAATTAGTGCAAATATACGGAAGGAATCTGTTCCAGACTCCATTTGTCTTTTGCCGAAGCCCAGACTCTGGCACAGGATCAGGAACGTTGGAAGCTCTGTTTGACGTGTCTGCCTCCGCGATCCGAAAGGAGAAGCGGCGATGGAAGATGAAGATGAAAAAAACGGATAAGAGGCTACAGAGCTGCATCTAAAAGAGACCAAAGTAATTTCGCAAAACAGGTCTCGCAGCGTATGACTGCGCTCAGGTAACGAAATGACAAT